GAGAGAGATGTGCGGGGCAATACTTTCTACCGGAAGTTTAACGGTGTGAGCATCTATAAAAAAGTGGGGGATTAACGGATCTGACGGTGTAAACCTAAAGGATCTAATAAAAATAAAAAAAAACTTGGACCCAATTCAAAATCAACAAAAACTATGAGGACCTTTATATTAATTTTCCCTTAAATATATAATTACTTGTTAAATCCTTGCTGACCAACAGTAACAAAGCTTCATAGCACACAGAAAAAAGCTTTGAAAGGTCCGCTTATATGTACGAAAATAGATCTTTTTCTTAGGAAAATAAGCTTGCTAATTGACAATGGGACAATAATTAAATTGCGCAATTATTATTATCAACTCGACGCTAAATAAAATAAATTAATTAGTGCGTTTTTGGTTTTATGTTGGAAAACATTAAAATTAATTAAGTCAGGCTTATGGCAACAGCAAGTCTAAAAATTTTTATCTTTTTTTAGAAAAAATATTAATAAAGAGAAATAAAAATTATACTCAAATAAAAAACATGTAAAATAAGAAGAACTAAATACAAGCAAAGAGACCCATTTAAGGAACTCAATGTATGTTTTTAGTAGCAGCTAAAGGGGTTGATTTAAAATTTTTTAAATTACATGGGCTTATTTAAAAATTCATACACAAAGTACAAGGACTAAATAATTAACTTTTTCTTAATGATTTTTTTTCAACTTTTTAAGACTAAATCCACTTAAACTTGTTCGTTTGTCAAAGGAAATTAATGCTGACTAGTATTTTAGTCATTGTCTGCTAAACACTAGATGGTTGATTTACTGATTAGGAAATATTACATTCGGTTCTAAATATTAGGCCTTATTTGCAGTGTACGAATGAAGTCTTATAGGCTAGAGGTAATATTTATTACTTCTCTGGTTCTAAATATAAGACTTATTTTGTAGTATAATTTATATTACAAAATTAGTCTTATATTTAGGTTTGAAAGAGTATCTAATATACAGAACACGATGGGTGAACTATCTTATCATCTTTCTAGTATATTCTGTGTCAAGCTGAAGCCAATTGCAAGCAGAAAATGACCACCTCATTAAGGACATGTATAATTTTATGGCCCCATATATACTTGCGAAAGGCTAATTGGCCGGGTTGCTTACTCTTCTTAAGCATGCTTCATCATGCTTCTGATTTGATTGGATTTTGGTGACTAAGAGATGAAAAGATGTCTCAACTTACACTGGCCTTTTCTGATCCCTAGGTATTTCCTTTTATTGGTTAATTAACCTTGACCTAAAAAAGTTAGCTTCACTATTCTTATTTTGACACTCCTTTCTTTTGAATTATCCATATTTAACTTGAACGAAACCCAATATTTCGTTTTGTATTATTTCTTCTAAAGATAAAGAAATGTCAAAATTAATAAATAAAACCAAATTTAAAATAGTTTTTGCCAGATGTGATTAGTCAAACATTTGACAATAATACTATCTCCGATCCTTAATATAAGATCTAGTTTGAATTTTAATTTAATCCTAAATATAAGACCTTAATCCATTTTATCTCTCTTATTTATCTACTTTTTCTTAAGTAGTCATTGTAATAGTTGTACGTGTTAAATGGTCCATCAAATCGTAATTCTAGCTAATAATATTCATGATTAATAAGGATATTTTGCGAAAGGTAACACTTATTTATTACAAATAACTAACTTAACAAACTTTTTTAATTTACTCAAATTAGTTAATTAGTTCTTATATTAAAGACTGAAGGTAGCATAATTTTAAGCGTGCAATAGGGGGTCCAATAATCCAACACGGTGTGTTACATGAAACAAGCAGTGTTTTCTAAGTTGTTTTTCTCAGCAAGCACATGTGATTCTATGTACTAATTTGTCAAAAAGCACTAAAGAAGGAACAGCAAGTTTTTCCCAAGTGCCCAAGTTTTCAAAGGGTATGATCATTATCTTCTCTACAAATCAAACCAAAATTAACAGTAAGTTCAAAGCCATCTGTAAAGATCATTGCATTGTCGTACCAGAGAAAGCAAGTGGTTCAAAAGAATAAGGTCAAAGTTTATATTGTTTGTCTTGTGGAGATCAACTTCACCTATTTCCAACTAAAACAAAATTCCAAGCTTACATACATGGCTAAGTTAGCAATTGGCACATGACGCTATCATTTACGCCCCTTGATTTCTTACAGCACTTTAATTTTAATTAAGGGGTCAAATCTTCGATTTAAGTAGGATACGGCAATAAGGATATCAGTAAAATATAATGGGAGCCAAAAAGCATTGGCCTTCTTTATATTATATATATATATTTATATGTATAGAGAGAGAGAATAATAATTCCGTTATATCAAATTTCAATTTCTGAACTTTTCACTTGAAGAAAGAAAAGCAACAAAAACTAAGAATTCAATTTGAGAGCTTAGGATAAAAGGATTTTGGTGTACGATGTTCTCTTTGTCCATAGTGCCTAATAGAAATAAGGGACTTGTGTAAAAGACTATCTTTAAAGATATGAGCTTAAACTAAATTTTAACTTTTATGATCTATATAATTCCATTATTTAAATGTGGTCTTGAAATTGTTAATTTATTCAACCTACTAGATATACTGCTTCCTTTGCAGCCCCATTAGCTATAAATTTACTTGATTAATTAATTATGATTGTGATGTAAATAGGTTTGCAGCCAGCTGGGAAGCCTTGTCTTAATTAGTCACTTGTTAACTTTCTAATTCCACCTACAGAGTTAGAAGCCATTTCTGTGCCTAATGTCTTCTCAGCGTAATAAATTAAACTCTCTTCCCATCACCTCTTGACAGTAACCTACTGATTAGATATTAAGATTATTACTCTCTCAATTATGGGAGACAATGAATGATATATTGTGCTGTTTATTTAATTTGACTCCAACCATTCCATATATCCACCTTTAAAGACTCAATTGATAATATTAACAGTACATTTAATAGTCAGAAAAAATTTAATTATTGTTTCATAATTATATAAATAAATTACTGTTATTTTTTTAATTTAAGTTACAACTCATACTTTTTATGTAATATATTTTTATTAAATATAAAATATTCGTGTGATGTTGTGAATAAATTTTTTAAGCGTCATTAATTTCTTTGTATTTTATTATTCCTCTCACAATCAAAAGCCCTGACATTAGGAATTAATTATGGCTAATGGTAATGGGTATGCAGTGTTGATAATTAGTTTGGACCCACATAATGTTTGTATCAGCTCATAGTGAAGATGAAAATAAGAGACAGCAACAAATCATGAAAGGGTTAGTTGAGGGTTTTCAGAGAGACTAGAAAATCTTGCAATGATAACACTTCACCTTCTCTGGGAGGCAGAAGAATCATCCCTCTCACCAAACATATCTCTCAATAAGGCAGCATTTTAATTAATATCAATTACTATTCATATATATATATTCTTTTCATACTTCCTTTCCTTTATCTTTTTTTTAAAATCTTTTGATATCTTAATTTGGACTCTTGATCCATCATGTTCATAAATCTTATTACCTTCCATTCCTTTTTATAAAAGACAATTAATTGAATTATGTTGATAAAAAAAAATTAGTCGAAACAAGTTGGAGATAATAAATGTAATTTTATTAATGTGGGTAATTAAATGGAGACAAAATAGGAACTCAACGGAACAAATTAAAAATGACCTCTAAGTGTTTCTTATAAATAAGAACAAGTCATATCTAGAAATTGTACCTTGTAAAAAAAAAACGGAGTATTAAGATTTTTTTTTTAATTTCCAGCATTATTTTATTTTATTTTTTATATTTACAAATCTTGAACGCCTAGTTCTTATTTATAGGACATTGAGTTCTTTATAAAGCTAACTATCATTAATAGCTTTTCTTCCCCTTTTTCTCTTTTCCCCATTCTTAAGAAGCCTTGTTTTCTGAGTAATTGAAACAAACATATTGCATGTTTCATGTTGATGACACTAAGATATTTAAATGTATTATTAATTATGTTTGGTAACAAAAGATCATCTAATACTAATCTTTATATACAAGAAACTCTTTTTAACATGCATGGTTAAAATGGTTGATTAATTGATGCCGGGATTGGAGGACTCAGTATATTGGTTGTCTAAAAAAGTGGACAAGTTAAAGCGAAAAAGAGAGTACCAATTAATGCCCCAAAGCAAGCACGATTAATTAGCATCAAACCACTTTAAACTTGTTAATTAGGATCTAATCTGCATTCTCCAATCTCATCTCAAAGAGAGACAACTGTGTCATTCATATGTGAATACAAAAATTGTACTATATTGACCACTTTATTAAACTTCGGCAGAAACTCCATACAAATCCCACAAAATTTTCACACTTATAATTGTACTTCCCATGTCCCGCATGCCCAAGCATTTGTGGGGCTTCCTCATAATTTACTATTCTTCTTACTTCAAAAATCTAATGCATTAAATTAGCATCTCTTTTGAATTCAGCCCAAAGGAAATACTTCCCTTAATATAAGACTTTATTTAACTTTTAATTTAGTCCTAAATATAAGACTCTAATATACTTTGTCTTCCATATTTATCTATTTTTTTAAAAATAGTTCTCATAGTAGTTGCGCATATTAAAATTTCTATCAAATGATAGTTCTAGCAATATATATAATTAGCAAGAGTATTTTAGAAAAGACAACATCTACTTAGTTATAAGTTACTAATTTAACTAATTTTCTTAATCTCTTCAAATTAGTCAACTAGGTCTTATATTAAGAACCAAAAGTATTATGAATTTAAAAGTTTCTTATTGGGACGCTTCTTAATTCTTATTATTTTGTGTTATTGATATTGTACAAATAATATGGTTTTTATTTATGTTATATATAGAATATTTGAGGTGGGGTGAAAACCCCATAAATGGTGATTGACAGTCTAAATAAATGTACATGGGAAAAAGGAGATAGAGAGAGAAGGTAAATCCGTGAACATGGGGGAGGGAGCAATGGGGACCAAGTGAAACCAGTTGCTTAAAAAAAATTAAAAAATAAAATTTGAAAATATACAAGAAGTTGAGTGAGCCTTATAGCTTCCACAAAGCTCACTAGGAAGCCGTTTAGATTAAAATACTCATAATAGAGCTGGCTAAATCACTCACACATTGAAGCCGAGCCAATTATGCTCACGGCGCAGCTGGCGCAAGGCTTAGATGTAAGTCCAAGCCCAATGGGTCATCGAAGTTGGGCCCACCATCCCCTTTCGAAAATCTACTTAAAGATGGCCCATGGGCCCTACCATGTACTTGAGATCCCATGGACTCCCCTGCGCTGCCACCACAGGATAACATCCCGGCGGCCGCCGATCTCCTACTCTGACTAGTATTACTACCACAGAAAGTACTATTCGTTGACGAAGGGAACACGCAGCCGTGTGATACCGACACGTGGAACGGCTGAGGAGCTGCACGTGGCTGAACATAGACCCAGGACGACGGAGTACCTGCCGGAACCATGACGTGGCCCGCCGGAGAAAGCAAATGAGGCGGAGGGGCGAAGGCAGAGATTATCGGGTTCCTCACGAACGAAACGGCGGCGTTTCGTGAAGCTTGCAACTGGGCTCGCTTCAGCTGCTGGCGCTCTTTCTTGTGAGCGTTCTGGTGGCCACCGAGGGCCTGCGAGTTGGCAAACTCGCGACAACAATACTGACACTCGTATTTCCTGTCGCCGGAGGAAGCAGGGAAAGCTCCACCACCGGCGGATGCTGCGGAATCCGGCGATCCAGACGGGGAAGTTTGCTTGGAGATTGGGCCTGAGACATCATCTGCAAGCACCTCGTCGTCGTCTTCAACTCGAAGTCCGTGTGGCTGGTGGTGGACGCTGAAGCCGAAAAGCTTTAAGGGGTTTGCTGGTTTAGAAGGGTAGAGAATCTGGTGATCCTCCATGTGAGGAAGATGAAAGGAAGGAGAAGAATGAAGGTTTTGAGCTTAGACAGAAGACGAGAGAGTCGGAAATAGTGGTGGGGACGATGACGGGCTAGTATTAAGGTGTTGGCGCATGTTTTGGGGTCTATTTATAATAGGAGGGAGTCAAGGGAACTTGACAAAACTTGTGTGTAAAGAGTGGTCCTTTCCAAATGAATTGTAATATTTATATTCATGAGTAGTGTGAAAATTAATTATACCATTATTTGGTTATCAACGTGGGACTTTTATTCGTTTGCAAAACGCTTTAAAGAATAGAATTTCAAAATTAAATACGCCAATAAAAGAAATAATATTCCTCTGGTTCTAAATATAAGACCCTTATACTAGTAGGTATAAAGGTATAAAGGTCTTATATTTAGGACTAGAGGAGTACATTTCTAAAAGGAAAGAATTTTTTCTGATCAAAATCAATGACTAGAAACAAATGAGAATTCTTTATTTCTTAATTTGGTTAAATTGATAAGATAAATCTCGAGTAAACTGATTTTAATTTATTTGTAAATAATTAAATCATATACAAAATAAAATAATTAAGCACAATGGAGATCTAGAGAGAGAGAGAGAGAGAACATCCATGGAGAAAGAAAGTGTGAAATGTAGAAAATTAGAAACAGGACTCAAGAACAGGGGCCCAAGAGGATCACAGTTGTCTCTGATAAGGAACATTTGTGTATTTAATTACTAGTGTTTCAAATTACATAAAGAAATAGCTTTGATCAATTATTTGACAAATAAGCATTTTGATATTATAAAAATGAATAAAAACCAGACACTTCAAGAAAATAAGACAAAAGTAGATCAAACAAGGATCATTATTTATTATGAAAAGGAAGACGATTTGGGAATGTGATGCATGTGAGAAGAGCATGGTCCAACTTCAAGTCCATGTAAAATGATTGGCTCTGTATCGTATCTCGCCATCTTTTCTTTACTATTTTTTCTGCTCCACACAGTTTCCCCCATATACGTACAAACCCATATAGTATATTAATATATAGGGCAGCTTCTGAAGCAATGAAAACTTTGATATGTTTGTCTAACCAAATGCATTAAATAAGCCGCGAATATATTATATTTGGACCCATCACTTGTAAGCTTCCATTAAAGATCCACAGCTTGATTTTCCCGACCAATAACAAGCAGTACAGAAAAAGAAAAGGAAATGGAGGCTTCTCTTGATGCAGTTAGGTTAGAAAAAGCAGAAACATGAATGTTGTAAATATTGCTTAATTCATCAACTTTGCGTAAGATGACCAATCCCAGAACCGTCCCCAGATTAAGGTTTGATCAACTAATCACGTTCCTAAAACAAAGATTTAACTCTTTCGCAATCTATTCTTTCCAGAGATACACACACAGATTCTAATAACATGTTCAAAGTTTCAAACTCTGCTCATCAGTACTGTTTGACCAACGTCATATCTTTGACACGTAAGACATATGCTTCTTCAAAATAAATGCACAGTTAGCTGTGCCATCTTTCTTTTTTTCTTTTACCGCAACATTAACAATTGGTTAAGATTAGGACATGACAGGTGGCTTTGGTCATTTGAGTACTTCTGTAATATCGTATTCTCTCATCAGAAACTCAGAAAACGTATAATGGAACGAAACCCAATGATGCACCGTGAAGCCCATGTCTGTCTTTTCTCCCACCTTTTACTGCACATTCAAAGGACTCAGAAATGCAATTTTAATACAGAAATCACAGACACACACAGATATGAGAATAGAAGCTGCAATATACTATATGGGATCTAACTCTCTCAGTGTCCTGCTAATAATAAATGGATATCCAGTGGTTCAGTCTGCTATAGTGAAAAGAGATCTTGTTCGTTCATTTTTGATCTGACAGCTGCAATTTCGCCACATTCTCTATTGTAGAATGAGGCGAGTCTCAATAATATTCGTCAAATTTGAAATGGACGGATCAAATTTCTTAGATTGGACAGAATATATATCTATATATATCACGGATTGTACAGAGTCAGAATAATCCGTCCTGGTACTTATATATATATATATCATCACTACTTGGGATGACTCATGTGTCAACATCATATTCATCTCTCTTGTGATCTCATTGGATACGCATGTTTCACATTATTCCAACCTCTTACCTCCCACATTAGTTGTCTCCATTTGCCAACTTTTTCAATAAAAAGTTAACACACGGAGCCTCTCAGCTTATAATCCTAATGTCTATATAGAAGCTACATATGAAAACAAGGACGTGTCATGTTTGGTACCACTTTTTACTTACATACACTTCTTCTCACACACTCACTACTCACAGTTGGCTTGTTTGAACGGCCACTTCCATATATATGACATGGAGAGACAGATAGTGACGCATATTATAATGATTGTTAAAATTCACTGCAAGACTACTGTTTCTTCACCCCAATGGTTTTCACCAATTGGTACACATATGAGTCAGAACGAATTGATAGTAACATGATCTTTTCCAGGTATAAATTCAGGTCATTGGGTTTCAAATGAAGAAAGAAATCTTTCTAAATGTTAGTTTCTTTCATCCATAAGACTAGAACTCAAGATCTTTTTCAAGGGCGTCGGTATATTGAAACTCTTCTGCTCAGTCCAACTGATACTGGTTCGATATGTGAATATTTAATCTCAAGTGTTCAAAAGATCTGTTTTTTTTGCTATTTAAAAAGCTATTTTATCAATCTAATCTGTTGTGTTTGCAAAACTTAGGGTTTTTGGTCCCACCCCTTGTCGTGTTGATATCGATGAATAATTGTTTTAGGAAGTTTTGCGTGATTGACGTTGAAATCTTATTTTCTCTATTGGTTTTCTTGCTTTGAGAGAGATCTCTACGAATCTTACTAACTACGAGAGAGAGTGAGAGCTTTTGGGTGCTTTAAAAGCATAATGATAATAATCATAATGGATTTAGTATAATTAATCAAGAAAAAGAAGAAAGATCTCTCATTAATTGAATGCCAAAGTCTTCCTCACAACTCCTAAGTGACCCACCTTGTCCCCTCCTACTCATATGTGTGTTCTATTCAGTTTTCAAAGCTACCTCGCAATTAGTCAAATTTTCTCGTGTAAGATAAAGAAAGTCTCTTTGCAAATCCCCATGAAATGGATCACCTTTGAAGTGAAAGTTTGCATCTTTTTTAACCGTTAGATTTGATGATTAATCATCATTAAGACAACCCTTCAAGTGGCCAAGTCTACTCAATTAAATTAGCTAGTTACCCATAGGTTTCTAGTAATTGTAATTTTGGACTGTGCCATGGTTAAACGAAAAAGTCAAGTTTACTAAATCATGGCATTTTGTAATATGAAAATTGTAGTTAAGGAGTCAGATCTTAAAAATTGTTAAAGGGTCTTGTGAATCGAAACTATCATTAGGTACGTTTTACTAAAATTATTGCTATAATTTAAGAAAATTATAGTTACGATTCAGTATAGTGACTTTCCCATAAATTAATAGTAACTTTTGCAAAATTTTGCGTAAAACCTGGAAGTAAATTTGATGCTTATAATCAATTACGATCAACAATTCAACATTGGGTTTCTTTAGATGTAATTTTTCCTTTTCAATTAACCTTTCCTGCTAGAGTGTTCCATTTCATGTCATGGAAGAAGATGCAAATGGGTTATGAAGGTCTTTTCATAGAGAAATAATTAATCTTCTTTAGGTGTGGGTCCCGATGATTAAAATTTACATAACATGGGATTACAGGTGGAAATTAACAAACATATAATAACGAAGGTTAATTTAGGACTCACATCAGGATCCCCATTAATCAGAATCACAAAAAGTGATTAAACCTAACAATCCCTTTTATGCTTTGTTATGTGGATCCAATGATTTTCTCTATTGCAACGAAAAGAGAGCTAGCTAGGAAGCTAGGGTTAGGAAAACCAGGGCTACCTAGCTAGATGGTCCACTTTCATCCCACTATATATTATATAACAGTATTATATATAATAATATCAAATAATATTACTGGCTATAAAGTCTATTATATACTCCTAATATAATTGTTACATGTTTTTCCTTTAATCATAACTCCAATATTTATTTTTGTAAACATAGACAATTCCAATATTCAAAGGTTAGTTTCAACAGAACGTAAAAGAAAAATTAACATTAAGTACAGTACTTTATTGACGATCTCCTATAACATTGTATAGTCCTATTCATGAATAATATTGTCAAAAATAAAATAGCACGTACATCTGGCTGGAGAGTTGCTGGGACCAATGGTGGCCAAGAAAAAAACTTGCACCATTTTTAAGTTGGATTCATCTTCTGTGCTTTTTTGTTTTTTTGGCCAAATCTTCTGTGCTATTTTTGGCTTCTCATAAATGCTTTGTATTAGACAATAAGACCTGTTCACTTGTCAGATCAAGACTCGATCAAAGATCAACTTTCATCGCTTCCTTCACATAAGATTCCTCAATTTAATTCTTATCTCTACTGATAACTGTTGTTTGGTAACGATCTTTTCACTAGGCAATTAGGGATAAAACTTTAGAAAAATTACATTTTCAAATCTTACTTAATCCAGATAATTGAAAAATAGTAAAAGTCGTCATTATTATTCTCAGTGATTGATTTATATGAAAATTTTTAAGAAATAATATTAATATCCTATACGGTCGCCATATTAGAGAAAGAAGTGCTTGAATTGGTTCCTAATTGTTGTTTCTAAAACGAAATGCCTTATATATTGATGCTGTTCATTCTGTTCAAAAGCTCAACTTTATCATCTCTGTGGTTAGGTTTCTGGATGTGCGAATGAAATTCAAAGTCATCATGTGCAATAAAATTGGCATTCCTAACTAATATGTGCGCACATATGTATATATAATTGCATTATTCATGCATCTGCCTACACCTTGTCTTTTCACTTCCATTATAAATTTGTCATATAAAGTAGGTAGAGCTCAGTCAAATTAGGGTTTCAATCTCTGAGTAGCCCCCAAAACTTATATAGAGAATGTTAGTTAGGTCTCTCTCTCTCTCTATATATATATATAGACATATATCTACAGCTACATCTTGACACGAAGGGACTGAGCA